TCCCACCCCACTCCAGGGGAAGGATACTGCAAAATCTCCATTCCCACCCCACTCTAGGGCCAGCCAGAGGTGGCATTTGCAGTCCCCAGTGTAATGCCTGACAGAGCCTGATAGATCTTAATGCATCTTGAAGCTGCCTTTGGAGCGTGTCAGAATGAGGAGAAAAATCTTGCTTTAACTACACTCCTATTAGGGACAATCTTCCCAATCTTCCTGTCTCATGGGCTGGGTATGAAATGGAGGCAATCTCATGGGGACACAGCTGAACAAGCAGGTAGCCGGGTCTGCTTTTCTTGTGGCCCACCAGATTCGGACAGTGGGGAGGTTGGGGAGGAACATGGGCCAGTCCTGGAGTCTGGAGAAGGCTCTGATAAGGGCTCTGTGTCGGAGGCAGAGAGAGGGCCGGAGCCACATGCCAGTTATCAGCTGCCTTCAGAGTCAGACATAAGTGAGGCAGATGAATAGCTGGAGCCTGTTCCCAGTGTGCACATGTGCAGAATGGACAGACGAAGGGAACAGTTAAGGAACAGGCGTCGATTTGGGAGTAAAGCCACAGGTCGATGTTGAATGGCCTTCCCAGAGGAAATAAAAGAGTGAAAGGGGAGTCAAGTTTCCAGAATGCAATTAGTTCCCTTAATTTGTTCATGACTCTCCAAGGATCCTTGCCAAGTTTTGCCGATATGTCAGCTCTTCAAGCCAGATAAGGTCTGTGACTGTAAATCCTCCCTTGAAAGACTTTGCTAGATGTGAATGAGCAGAAGTCACAGTAACTTAATAAAAAGGGGGTTTTGTCAGGAGAAGGAGTTGTTTCATGGTTTGGGGAAGCTAAAGTCAGAACACTTTTGCTGTGGTTAGGCACAAGCAAACATCTGGCCTACGTCCCAAATTAAATAGATTTAGATCCAGCAAGCAAGTTTCTTCATGACTTCATCTTCTACTCATCCCTGCCTCACCCCATCCCTCCCAGGAAGGCCACCTTTTCCTGCTACACATTAAACTAGCATTTCTAACTGTGTTAATTCAAGCAATGGTGTCTGGTTTGCCTGCAGCACTTAATTTCATTGTAGGCAAACGTGTTTATTACAGGTAGACCTCAACTTACAACCATTCATTTAGTGGCCATTTGAAGATACAACAGCACTGAAAAATACTATTCTGTTCTTGTTCTGTTCTATTCTATTCTATTCTATTCTATTCTATTCTATTCTATTCTATGACAGTTGCACTGTCCAGGAATCATTTGATCAGCATTTGAAACTTTCCCAGAGGGATTTCGATGAGCAAAGCCAGTGGGGGAGGCAGATCCACTTAATGCCCACGTGATTCGTTTAACAACTGCAGTGATTTGCTTAACAACTGTGGCAAAAGGGCTGTAAAATGGGGCAAAACTCGCTTAATAGCCCCCTTGCTTAGCCCCCAGAAATTTTGGACTCAATTGTGATCATACGTTAAGGACTACCTGTACAACTATAGCTAGTCCTTGACTTACAACAGTTCATTTAGCGACCGTTCAAAGTTACAACAGCACTGAAAAAAGTCATCTGTGACCATCTTTCACAGTTACGACCTTTGCCACATCCCCAAGGTCATGTGACCAAAATTCAGATGCTTGGCAACTGGTTACTGGTTCACATGTATGACGATCGCAGTGTCCCGGGGTCATGGGATCTCCTTTTGGGATCTTCTGACAAGCAAAGTCAATGAGGAAGCCAGATTCATTTAACAACCATGTTACTAACTTAACAACTGCAGTGATTCACTTAACAACTCCCACAAGAAAAGTTGCAAAATGGGACAAATCTCACTTAACAACAGCAGAAATTTTGGGCTCCATTGCGGCCATACGTTGAGGATTACCAGCAACTACAGTGTACTGTAGCCGGAATGCACCCATCCAGAAGATGGGAGCTTTATTTAAGGCAGTATTTTTCAAACTTGGCAAATTCAAGATGTGTGGATTCAGAACTCCCCAGCATACTGGACATGGCCTCAAACACCCACCAAAGAAAAGGGAGTGATGCTTGCTTTCCTAGCGCAAAGTGCAGGGTAAGGATGTAGGAGAAAAATGCATCGGTTTGGAGCCATGATAAATGTGGTCCAGACAGAACATCTGGCTATCATCACGTTCAAAACAGAGGAAGGGGAGGAATCCAGAGAGGAATTTCTTAAGCGCCTTTCCTTCCCACCCTGTTTTTATATGTGTACTAATTAAGGCTGCATTACGGGGAAAGCTTCAGTTTCTTTATGATCTGCATCTTTTCATTGGGAACGTCTCTTAAAATAAACCTTTAAGATGCCTCTCAGAGCGGAAGTTTATAATTAGGAAATGAACGACGATTTTTGAGGATGTAGCTTAAGGGAGAATTAAGGTTTGGGTTTTTTTAAAAAAAAATTATTTCCTTGTAGGGTCTGCGATGCTGACCTTGTTCTGGTCATTTTGGATGGGAAAGTAGCAGCTGAACAGCCTGGCCACTTAACTATGTCCATGGTAGATGTCCTGTCTGCCAGTGAATCAAATGAGACACAGCCTTACCTTCTGGTTCTGAACAAAATGGACCTACTCGGAGAAGAAGACCAAGCAGATCTCCTGAAGACCTGCAACAGTCTTGGTCTAGGCCCTGCCTGCTTGTTGTCCTGCAGAACTGGAGATGGGATTGTGGCCTTCCTGAATGCATTGCAAGAACAGCTGGCACGCATGTGAGAACAGAGGGGAAAAAGGCAGTGGGAAGAATTGAGGGTGGATGTGTAACATACATTATATTGCCGAAAGTATTCGCTCACCCATCCAAATAATCAGAATCCGGTGTTCCAATCACTTCCATGGCCACAGGGGTATAAAATCAAGTACCTAGGCATGCAGACTGTTTTTACAAAC